GGACTCTATTCTGTGTGCTAAAAAATGCGATATAAAACAATTCTATGGAACATCACATGTATTCTAGCAGTCTTAGCTATTCACCCTATATCGACAGTAGCGACTAGAACACGTCCTGGGATTTAAAATAAATCACCTTTTGAATTTGCACAGCCAATTCACGTGTTGGCGATAAAATCAATGCTTGGCATTCCCTCAGATCCGTATCGATAGATTGTAGTACAGAAATCGAGAACGTCGCAGTCTTTCCGGTACCTATAACAAGCATATCCTTCTGATAAGTTAAGTCGCAAGTGAATGATACCAACCAGACTGTGCTTGTGCAATGACATCACGACCTTTCAGAATGGGCTTGATAGCACGTTGTTGGATAGCTGATGGTTTCTCAAAGCCATATGAGTATATACCACGAAGCAATGGCTCTCTGAAAGAATGTAACGATTACTAAGAATACGACTATAAAAATTTCTTTAAGATGAGAGCTTAAAATTACAGATTGCTTCAAAACAAATTTTATGATATTGTCCCGATCAAAGTGACAACTGATTGTGTGACATAACCAGTATACGTGATTTTAAAACGTATAACTGATGTTTCCAAAACAACCTGAAACTTCTTTAAACTAGTGGCGGAACTAGAGCGTGCAGGCAAGATGTGTAATGATGTTCGTCTTTAGTTTACAAAAAAAAGGAAAATTTAGAGGATATTCAACTATCGTAGGCAGCTCTGAGTCAATATGAAATGCTTAGCTTCTAAAGGTAGGCAAAAACCAATCCAATTCTCTATTCAAACCACTAAATGGAAAAAAATTCAACTATATTCTCACAGTAGCATATTCCTTCAGTACTTTCAAAGCAAACTATCAGCTTACCTCAATCCCATAGCATCGAATGTCGGGATTACTTCCACTTCCTCGGAGCTTTCAAACTCCACTCCAGACAGATCCTCAGCAGTAGGCTCAATATTTCTTCTTTTCTTTCCTGACATCTTTGAATTGTTCCAGTAACTAAACTGACTATAAGGCTGTGAAGATTAAAATGAATAGTGCACTGATTCGAATAAAAAAGAAAAGATAATTTGGTTCAGTTGAACCGTAACACAGCAGTAAACAAGTACACCCGCAAAACGCGAACTTCATATAATAAATAGAATTTCACATATATTACAAAAGTGTTCGAGAGCACAATTACATAAGCAGGCGAATATTATTACACACAAAAGTTTAACAATAAAGATGTCACCGATACCCACAATTCTACATGACAACGGTCTGACTCATATAGAATTACAGAGGAAGGTGCTGGATAAGTATACCACCTAACACAGTCTTAAAACATTAGTCTTTCTCCTAAAATATTTGCTCGTACCGGGCGACAAAAACAGTAATTAACCGGAGCATGTGGTCTGTGGTGTATTTCGTGTGGGCTACATTCGAGATTTGTAAAGTAACGTCCGTCATACGTTCGTGTCACCCCAAATCTCAGCATCATTTGAAGGAAATGCCGACCTGAGAGGGGAAAAACGACTACTTCTAGATGCGGATCAGAACTAGCCATGATGAGAGAAAAGAGGCAAAGTAAAATTAAAGAAGAAAAATGAAGCTATCGAAGGATAGATGGGGTAAAAGGAGATAAAAGGCAGGTCCGGGAATGTGGCTACATCGGCTCAACGAGCTTCTTAGAACAATTTGCCCACGATCAGACCAACCAGGAGTGCCGCGATTGCCAGTAAAATTACCTGAAACAGCAACATGGAGATCTTTGAAAATCAGTATTTTAAAACTGTTGATATGATAAACTTTAAGCACTCTTTCCTCAAGGCAAAGCAGATAAGTAGGTAGGTCATAGGTATAAGTAGGCTGATATTAAAAATTGACCTTAAAATTAATAAAGTGGAATGGTAAGATAAAATTGCCTCAGCTTACGGACCCCATTTTCTCGTGAAATATGCGACCGTGCGTACAAATGCGAAAATTTGGGTGAGATGAAACAAAATGATTCTAAATAAAAGTATTCTCTTAACACACAATAGTCATTAAGAGGATGCTCCATTACAATCGAATATGATCAGCCTGATAAGCCTTACGACAAACACAATGGCTTCCATGCGTTGCTTTCCACGTCAATTTGAGCATTAAAATTACAAACGCAGAAAAATTTGGATACTTCAATCCGCGAGAGATAAGAGCTAGTACAGGAGCATATGTTATCAATGATAGAGGTATCGCGCCGCCGTATAGATTTGCATGTCCGGAATTATTCATATGAGTGCAGAAAAGCAAACAGTGACCGAAGTTAAATCCAAACACATAATTTGAAGTTTGAAACATTTACTCTGGTAGGTAAACCTACTAGAGCATCATACATCAGGAAAATTGCAGCATTCTGTTAGAAACCGTCTTGGGTTTACCTGAATCGTAGGGGTGCCTCCTTCAGGTGACTGCATCGCTTGCTGCAATTTGGCGTGCTTCTGAAATGAGGAATATCAAAGCAAAGAAAGCAAAAAAGAGGGAAATAAAAGAAGAGAATCACTTACACTAAACAGTTCGTCAAGATCACGCTGGAGCAATGCCCTTTCTTTCTCTGACTTCAGCCGTAACTCAGTTTCGCTCTTCAATTTCTCCTCGAGCTCCTGAATTCGCCCAATAATTAAAGTGAACAAAATAACAAACTGCACACAACCAACAACGCTCACAGAGACGCGATTTCCGGCAGGAGAAGCAGATGCTCGATTATTACTGGCGTTCACTGGACTGTAAAAGTAATGGAAATGAGATACGCAAGTTCGAAAAGAAATGCTGATGACATACGTGTTGAAAGCGACAGCGGATGGTACTTCTTCTCTTACTGCTCCAGCATGTTCACCCGTACGTTGTTGGAAAACTACCATCAGTTTGCTGTACATAAGCTCGTTCGGGGAGATTGTCTAAAAAATTAAGATCTGAGCAAGATTAGCTCACTCAAATAAACACAAAGGCAATAGCTAAAAGTCACCTTCCAGATATTATCGAGATCAACATCACCGGGAGGACAAAAACAAGTTTGAACCATAAATTTATGACGAGCAACATCGGTAGGAACACCGTCCATTGGTTGCAGCATCACAGTTATGGTTTTAGAACTGCTTGGTGGCAAAACCCCTTGAAAAAACTGGTTGTATACATAGGTTTTTGGAAACCAGTATGTTTAGCGTGCTTACCCGAATTTGGACGGACGCAGTATTGTTTTGGAGCAGTTGTTTTGACTTTGAAACAAACTGGTCTATCAGTTGGGTTTTTTAACTGTAAGTGGGCATTGACGATGTCGGTAAAAGGACCTTAAATTTATTGCTTCAAAATAATTACGAAATAACGCTGAAAAAATAATCAAGGCGACTTCCTCCTAATTATGAAAGCACATCTTCTCGTTAATGCATTCCAAGTGTGGGATTATAAGCTGCACTCGCAAGTGCTATTTCAGAACGCCTCTGGCACTGATACCCACGACCATAGCAGTAATTATGTTTGTGTTCCCCGGCAAGTTTGTAGTTGGGTTTCGGCTCCTACTTAGTTAATTGCAAAACTAATGTAGTAAGGATTTTTGGGATCAGATATAAAATCTAAAAGCACTGTGTCAAACGAAGGTTTGCACAACTATCACAACTATGATAACTACACTAAATTGAAAATCCAATAAAAATAATCCAAATAGCACTCCTCTAATCCTTTACATCTTGCTAGATTAAAAAAAATCCAATAAAACAGAATTGACATCCGTTTTTAATCTAAAATATGCTTTATATGAGCACTATGGAGTATGATTGACAACACAAGGAAACCGACAGCGCAATAGTAGCCCATCGTGATTGATTACCCTTTCATTCCCATCTGAGGAAATACAGGAAGAAAAAGAAAGAGTATCACTTTCCACCAAAATTCGCTATTCTATGTGTTTGCAGCTTCGTACCAACAAATTTTCCAATTTCACCACTTCAAGCTAATCCAAACCACTAATGTCGCAACGACTATAAACGTTAATTTACCAGATGAGAATGGTCATGAGTGTCTAAGTCTGTAAGGCTAAGAAAAATGGATAACTTCAGCTCATATATTCGCCCATATTAATTTAAATCCAAACTATCAACATTTCAAAATAGTGAACTTATGGCTAAAACGCGTAGTGCTACTTTACCATGCCGCTATACGCTGGGAAGCAAACCCATCAAGATCCTTTATGCCCTATGTAAACATGAAGTCCAGAAAATCGGGAGAGATTTTTA